TAAATAAATAAAATCTTTAAAAAAAAATAAAAAAAGAAATTATATGCCCAAAGAAAATGAGGGAAAAGTGAAACAAAGCAGAACTAAAAATTCCCTTCAAAATATCTTCTGACCTGAAATCTACAAAAATTACTAACCAATATGAAGGAAGATACAAATAAGAAGAAGGAATCCTGTGTTTGTGAATTGGAAGACTTTATATTGATAAGATGTCCATAATACCCTAAGAAACCTACAGATTCAGTGCAATCCCTATTACATCTCAATTATTTATTTATTTATTTATTGCAGAAATAGAAAAAAATTCTAAAACATGTATGGGATCTCAAGAGACTCCAAATAGCCAAAATAATTTTGAAAGCAAAAGACAAATTTCAAGTGTCATAAATCCTGTTTTCAAAATATGAGACATTGTAAAAAATTGTATATTATATGTAATACATTACACACACACACACACACACACACACCACATCTTTATTCATCAGTTCATGGACATTTGGGCTGTTTTCATAATTTAGCTATTATAAGTAATGCTGCTGTAAATATCAGGGTGCATGTATCCCTTCAAAATAGTATTTTTGTATTCTTTGGGTAAATACCTAGTAGTGCAACTGCTGGATTATAGGGTACTTCCTATTTTCAACTTTTGCAGAACCTCCATACAGTTTTCCAGAGTGGTTGCACCAGTTTGTATCCCCACCAACAGTGTGAGGGAAGAGGGGAAAAGAGAGAGAGAGAGTCAAATCAAGAAATAGACTCTTAACCATAGAGAATAAACTGATGGGTATCAGAGGGGATGTGGGTTCAGGCATGGGTTAATTAGGTGATGAGGATTAAGGAGTGTGCTTCTGATGAGCACTGGATATTGTGTGGAAGTATTGAATCACTATATTGACACCTGAAACTAATATTGCACTGTACGTTAACTAACTGGAATTGAAATAAAAACTTAAAAAAAAAAAAACCCAAAACTGAAACAATACATATGTATGTATGTATGTATGTATGTGTGTGTGTGTATTATATGATGTAACACTAATGATGACAGTGTGATACTGACATAAAGACAGAAATATAGACCATTGGAACAAAATATAGGGCCCAGAAATAAACCCTTGTGTATGTGGTCTAATGTTCTTCACCAAGGGTGCCAAGAACATGCAATGAGGGAAGGACAGTCTTTTCAACAAATAGTGTTGGGAAAACTGGATCTCCACATGCAAAAGAATCAAGTTGGAGTCTTAACACCATACATAGAACCTAACCCAAAATGGATTAAAGACCTAAAAGTAAGACCTAAAACTATAAAACTCCTAGAAGAAATCATAGGGGGAAAGTTTCAGGACATTAGATTTGTCAGTGATTTCTTGGATATAGCCGATATCAAAAAAACAGAAAATGTCAAGTATTGGCAAGAATGCAGAGAAATTGGAACTCTTGTGCACTTTTGTTCTGAATGTAAAATGGTGCAATCATGGAAAATAGTATGGAGGTTTCTCAAAACATTTAAATGGGATTGCTATGTGATCCAACAGTCCCACTTCTGCATATATATCCAAAATAATTCAAAGAAAGAGCTCAAAAAGATACTTCCATGCCCATGTTCATCAAAGCATTATACACAGTAGCTAAAAAGAGGGAGCATCTCAGATGTCTATTGATGGATGAATGGATAAAGAAAATGTACTATATATCTACAATGGAATGTTATACAGACTTTAAGAAGGAGGAAATCCTGACACATGCTACAACATGGATAAACCTTGAGGATATTATGCTAATTGAAATAAGTCAGTCGTTAAAGAGCAAATACTGTGCTATTCTACTCATATGAAGTATCTAATGTGGTCAAGCATAGAAACAGATAGTGAAAAGCTGGTTTCCAAGGCCTGTGGAAAGGGTATGGAAAATGAGAGTTCAATGAGTCTAGAATTTCAGTTTTGCAAGATGAAAACATTCCAAAGATATGTTGCATAACAACATAATAAACTTATCACTATTAAACTGTACTCCTAAAATGATTAAAATGGTAAGTCCTGTTATGTGTTTTTTATTACAATAAAAAAATATTTTCTCACTATAGCTTCTAGCTGACTAAAATGCTAGTGGATGCAAGGTGAATATACCCATGACCAAAAGTTAACTCTGTTGTAATGTCATACTTTCAGTACTATGGAGAGAGCCACTAAAAATAAGACAATGAATGCTTTAAAAAAATTCTTGAACGAATATGGACGTTAACAGATAAAACATGAAAGGAGAACAGAAAATACTAAAATCTGTGTAGTTTGACATTTAACATAAGCTTACCCTAATGTAGAATATGTTTTCCCAATAATATGAAGCTAAATTTAAAGAGAGACCGTATAAACAAGTATAAAACAATTGTTCAACTCCTCTGCACAGAACTGTTTAGTTATTGCTAGATGATAATGGGTGCCTTTAAATTTTTATGGATACCTGTATTGTCTAAACGTCCCACAAAAAAATGTGCATTAATGATGAAATAAAGAATTATTTTAAACTAAAATTTAGAAAGGAAAGGTGTTGTATACATTGTTTTCTCTGGTTTTAAAATCAGGCAAATTTGGCTTATACCATTCTGTGACTATGCATTTGACAAATACAATTACTGAGCTATTAGTCATGTAGATATGTCAAGAAAGACAAGATAACTCCTGAAAGTATCAGAAGGGCAAAAGATGTATCAACATTTCTAAAAGGAAAGTGTAGAAATGAGCAGAAAAAGCATCGAAATGGTATTTTATTCAGCACCATTTCTTGATGGAAAATTTATTGGAATTAATTACTGATTGATAAAATTACAAACATCTGAAAATGCCAAGGGTAGTAGTTTTGTAGAGAACAAATAATGACAAACAAATTCAGTTTATTTTATGGCAGAGTGACAAGGGGAAACCATACATTTAGTAGAGTGGGGATTGAGTTGGTTTCTTCCATGTGTCTCACATTACAATTGCCTCAGAGGGCAGTGATCAGAAGTTCACTGTCAATGTCAGAAGACAGAATGAATATTCTTTCTTTGCAGTTGTCAGAGTTCTGTATGTAATTATTATATAAGGGATTGAAAAGCTTGAATAGAGAATATTGCTTGTTTGAAAAAGACAGTCAGTTAAAGTGGCTTGTTAATAATCTGGAGTGGAAAAGTAAGAATCTGATGCCTTTGTTATAGACATACTGCATATAGATTCTTTTCAAGCAGTACAGTTTATTTTAAGATAATTGTCTTTAGTGAAATTACAGCATATACCTGAAAAAAGTGATTGTAAATGACTGTGCAAACAATGCAGTGTAGCATTCATTCCGCCAATCTGAGGAAGCAATGTAATCTTACTTCAAAAAGATTTTTAACAATTCCACATGAGCCAAATAAATAGTATGCTAAAAGATTTCCATCCGGAATGTTATAGGGATTTTATGTAAGGTATGTGAGATCATTTTGGAAAAGATGCTAATTACAAATAAAATAGCAAAGAACAAAGCTGTTAGATGCAATACAGAATTCCTTTCACCTCCAGAAGTAGTCAGATCTGTAAAAAATAATTGTTCAAAATGTAATATAAATTAGCATGAATTGAGAATTTCCATACTTAATGGGTATCATCACCTTTCCTTTACTCCAAAATTACAGAAACAGAATGCTCTTGCCCTATATCTAATAAAACTAAAAAAAAAGTAAAAAAAACCCTGTCTTAATAGCTTTATTTATTCTTTATCCCCACACATAAATATGCATGTGTATGTTTATATATATATGTGTGTGTGTATTCATTTTCTAATTTCTCATTTTTCGCATCAGAATATAGATTCCATGAAAACAGAGACTTTTCTATTTTGTCTGTGGTACCCACAGTAGAGGTTTAAGAATCTTTGTGGAATAAACTAATTTTAAAAAGAGAGAGTAGATAAATATTGTACATTTGCTCAAAAAATATCCATTTTGGGAATAGTCTCATAAGGCAACAGCAGTGATTCATTTTAAACATATGGACAGATAATTTCATAATGATGAACATGAATGATAGCATTTACAGATTTAATCCTTTAAACGACTTTGCTGTAACTCGCTTTTTAATTGCCTTTAAGTTTTGTTAGAATATAAAATAACATGCTATTTATCTTTACTATCCAATTTGATAATGGATGATTACTATTTTCCAATTTTTTTGTAGGAATAATCCAGAGTAAAAATAAAACATGTAACCTTAAAATATATTTTGTTCTATTTATTGTCCCTAAGAAAGTTATGTTCGTTTAGATATTTTTTATTGTTAAAGGGCATATATTTTTCCTTGTGTTTTGTTTGAAGATGCTAAAAATTAACTTCTTCATGGAAGACAGTCGCATCTTCAGTGGTAACTTTTTAGTTTGAGTTGACAGAGGACTTTGTTTTTAAAGATTTTTATTTATTTATTTGACAGAGAGAGACACAGCTAGAGAAGGAACACAGCTGAGGAAGTGGGAAAGGGAGAAGCAGTCCCCACCCCCCCACAACAACACACTGCGGAGCAGGGAGCCCAATGCGGGCTTGATCCCAGGACCCTGGGATCATGACCTGAGCTGTAGGCAGACGCCCAACGACTGAGCGACCCAGGAGCCCCCCCCCCCTTTTTTAAGATTATATTTATTTACCTGTCAGAAAGTGCACAAGCAGGGGGAGTGGCAGTCAGAGGGAGAAGGGGCAGAGGGAGAAGCAGGCTCCCCGCTGAGCAAGGAGCTGGATGTGGGACCAGATCCCAGGACACTGGGATCCAGACCTGAGCCAAAGGCAGACACTTAAGGACTGAGCCACCCAGGTGTCCCAACAGAGGTCATCTTAATGTATGGTAGCAGCATGTCCATAGCTGTTAACAGATATTTCAAGTCTATCAAGAGTCTTCAAAGTCTCTTTTTAAGAAGGCAAGTAATAAGAATACTCATATTTATGATAACTTCTCCTTTTGCTTACTGTTTTTTCTTGTGGTTTTTTTTTTCAGAAATTGAAAAATTTCAAGGTTCTGATGGAAAAAAGGAAGATGAAGAAAAGAAATATCTTGATGTCATCAGCAACAAAAACATAAAGCTCTCAGAAAGAGTATTGATTCCTGTCAAGCAATATCCAAAGGTACTGCAATATATGCTCTGTTCTCATCGAATTAAGAAAAAAAATGATAAACATATGACCTGATGTTTTATTCATTGTCTTTCATGAAGTAAATATTTAAAATTTCATTATATTAGTATACACAAATATATGATACTGATACAGAGGAAAGAGAAGTCTTTGAAAGTACACCGATATGAACTGTTTTCACCTAAAGACCGTAGCACTTTTATTCCATGAATATGGGAAGCATAAATAGATATTTAATTTTTTTTAACATGTAAATTGTTCAACAGTTTGTCCAAATATACATACTCAATGTTTTGGTTCATGTTGCAATATATATTCCTACTATAAAAAAGAATAGAAGTAATGATACCAAATACACAGCATTAGCCAATCCACACGAAATTATTATAACCAAGAAAGTAATCTAGTCTGTACTAGATCCTTAGATTATAACCTCTAGTCTTCTGTAGTCCGGGTTCATTTATAAAAATAATTATCATACTGTTCTCTTGAGAGTACTTTTTCACTAGGCATTTGCTTTTCCTACAAGATTTCTATCACCAGAATCATGACATAGCATTCAGTGGCAAGGTTTCATCATTTATACTCACAGATTCCAATGGGTAAACGGAGTTCCTTTTTTAAATAAATCAAGTATGCTAACAATGGAAACTCAGATTTAAGCTGGTAATTTACTTTCTGAAGAATGAATTTGAAACAAGGACCATGTAATTATCCTAATGATAAAAATTACAGAAATAAATGCTGTAGTTTACCAATTGTCTTCTAATATGATAAATTTTAGTAAATATTATTAAGTAGAATGTTGTGTTTATAATTATTTCAAATAGGAATAAATTGTTACAGCCCATCAAACCGTAAAATTTAACTTTCATATGAGGTTTTTGGGCATGCAACTGTTTAGTTTTTTTGTGGGTTTTTTTTTTTTTTTAAGCTAGATTTACTCTATTGCAAGAAAGGTGCATTCAGTAGATTTATATTTTACAATTAAATTTTTTAAATTTATTTCATAAGCATGTATTTATGAATATTAAATTAGGCAAAGAAATGTACATGAAAATGTTTACTTAGTAATGAAATGTGGGAGAAATAAGGGTATGAAGAAAAATGTCTTTTTAAAGGAATTTGATTAATCCATTATGAAGTACAAGATTCTCTCTCTAAGTCATCTATTTAAATATTTATATAACTTGATACTGTTTCTCAGAAGAACACTTGTCTATTCTCTGGATATGGGAAAACCAATGACAGACTCAATATCTCTTTCTCAATAAAATGCAGCTCTGTATCTCTGACCAACTCAGGTTGGCCAGGTGTGAAAGGCATTTCAAGTCCTGGTGGCTCTTCAAGTGACAGCATGAGTGATTTTATAGTGAAGATTGCCGTAGTCTGTATTTGATGCGTAATGATGAATATTGAAACAAGAACACTGTATAGTGCCTAATTTTTGTGTGAGATTTAATTTCACAATTTATGGGAAGAGGATCAAATAACAAAACTGCCTATTTGTATTAAAACAGACCATATCTCACTAGCAAGTTATTGTACCTGCTTGAATATTTAGAATCGCAGAATGTTTAAGCTGGGACTAATTTTCGAAATCACAGAATATATAAAACTTTTATTTTCCAAATGAGGTAACTGGGAAATCAAGAATTACTCAAAGACATATCTTCATTGCAGATGGAGATAGCAAGGTTGCTGTTATTGTAGATTCTTCACTTTTTGGGGACCCATTACATTTTTAACTTGACCGGTAATGCTCACATTTTTTATTACTTATTCATGTAAACTATGGAAGAATGTGAGGAATGAGAGTTCCTAATGATTAGGACTTTTATGGAATATTATCAAGTAACAATTTATGCCTTAGAAAATTTGCCATTTTTAATTGATGAATAGAATGCTAAATCACTTTAAATTGTTTCTAAAGGGATGTGCATTTCATACATCCAGTTATCATAGTGAGAGAAGTCTTAGAGCCCTTTTACAGAAAAAGGTACTGAGAAACGAACGGAACAGAATCATCTATCAAGCTGACCTACATTTGTTTTCGTTTGCTTTTAGAGTATAGCAAATTAAAACCAACATTCTGAAAACCGCATTTTATTTCAAAACTGGTGATTCCCTCCTGCTGAGTAATTATTGCCTACCTCTCACAAAAATAGCGGTGGGGTGAAGATTACAGTCACTGTGCTTGAGCCGTATTGGATGGACTTTTGGGAGCTGTAAAGTATGTGGTGTGGTGTGATGCTGTGAACTGTTGAGCAGAGCACAACGGTATTTATGGATTTAAAGTTTAATCTTTTATAATAAAAAGTGATTTATCCCTCGGGGGGTACATTGGAGAAAGACCCACTTTTCACAACTTCTCTCAGAGCCCTCTCTCCCCTTGATGCCTGCTGTCTGTTTGATCCGGTAATTAGTGTGGGAATGACACAGTCCCCTCCAACAAAGGGCAATAAATAACTATGGGACTTCTTGAGGAAATGACCTTATCCTGACTTTACCACATGACCTTTTTGGATAGATTGGACTTCAGTTAGTCTCCAATATCAAGTTAATTTGCTGACTTAATTGAGTAACACAAGGAATTGAAAGACATTTAAGATTTTGAATTACAGAAAATATAAAAACACTGTCAAACACTTAAAGAATGATTTATCTAGCTCTCCTGCTTTACGTTTAATCACTCAATGTGGGGAAAAATATGTCATATCAAATTATTACAATAAACAGCTTTTCTTATTTGTTTTTAATATTTTTGTTTGCAACAGGATTAGTCAAGAAATAGACTATACACATCTATTGTTTACATTCGCAGATGTTTCAGAATCGGTGCAATTATTTCTTGATAGTCAAGTCTCCAAGGAGACAACATGTGGCAGTATGTCCCTCTGTAAGCCTAAGAGACTCACACAGAAGATCCTGGAGAGATTTAGGCAGAAAACTCACCATCATTAATGTGAATTCTTTCTCCCTAAATCCATACATGCTATATTTCATAGTCTAATACACACTTATTTTTTTAAAATTTTACCATTTCCAACTGGTATGCATATTAGAATCATTTTACAGTCCCTGTCGGGCAAGCAGTGGTCATAACTCATAACAAGTTGTCTATAAACTCGGTCCAAGTAAGCTTGGCCATGCCTTCTTGCATGCAGTTGTTTATTGTATTGGAAAAACGCAGATTGAGTTTCATCACTATTTAAAATGTCTCCAAAGATTGCGTTATGATTTAGTGTTGACATGCAGAGCTATATGACATATCCAAGAAAAGAATAGAACTGTAGCTAAGGTACAAATTTGGTATGAAGACAATATTTATCGTTGGAAGTAAGAAAAATAACATGATTTCATGGTCCTCCACCAACAAGTGCCTTATAGGACCTAAGAAACAAAGATACATGTAAGTGGCTAAGGCTGTATTCTCTTTTATTACTGCTAGACATGCAAAAGGACAGTGTCTCACAAGCGTGGGCCATGAGTGGATGGGATATGCTGGTTGCTTGCAACTATACCTATTTGGCCACCTGGGCAATCGAACCTCTCCAACGCCTTTTAAAAATATCTTTTGACGTTGCCTTCAGAATCCTTTGAAATGCATCAGACCTTTCCTTCAATTAATTTTGCCTCGAGGCCCATTTTTTATTTCCCAACTTGAATTGCTGCCAACTTTTTAAAGCAGTAGATCGCCAGGAGTATAAATCGGCCCCAAATTTGGCCCCTTTTAAGATCAAACACAGCTACGTTACCGAGTGCTGCTTTTCAAATCAATTCCTTATGTAGATTAATGCAGAAAATTAAAGTTCCAAAAGATGTTCAAAAGCACCACACTTGCCCTATATTTTGGTTACCCTGCTCAGTCCCAGAGAGAGGGGCTGCCTTTGTGCCCGGCTGGAACCAGTCTCTGAAAACTGGCATGTCTTCTCACAGAGCTTGTTTCTTTCTTTGTGCTCCAAAAGATGAAACCCAAATCCCAATTCTTGATGAGTGTTATTTTTTCTAACTTAATAAGTAATTATCAGATAACTTTAAGAAGAGGTAACCCAGTGTTACTAGCTGTGGAAACTATGACCGAATATCAAAGCCAATATCACCTCCTACAATCTGGGAAACACCTCTCTATTTTTCTAAGCAATGTGGTTTCCCAAAAGCCACTCAGTAGCTTACATCTTAAACCTGTTTTATCTTTACTAGACAGACTATTGCATAGCATTGCTTTTTTACTTCTCTAAAGGAAATGGAAGAGAGGATTTGATGCGGGCTTCGTGATTTCAATTTCATTTATATCAGTTGCCTAGTCTCTCACCTGTGAATGTAAATCTCAATTGGAAAATAACATGACACTCAGATTCACATTTTCTATGAAAAAGAAAAACATTCCAAAATGCCATGGACTGCATTCTCTCTAGTAGAATGACACCTAAAATAACTCTGTTTTTTGCAAAATTTAGAAATTTGCAGTGATATTTATGTCTAGTCCTCGTCTTTTCCAATAACTCTTTCTTTTAACTAATGTACATCCCATGTATTTCAATATTATTTTCCATTTGGTACTTAAAGTTTTTTTCGTCTCCGTGTTACACTGATCCGTGTGTTCCTAATCCTGAATCACGTTCTTCTCTCCACATCCTTTTTAATGGGTTCAGCACAGCCTCACAAAATATGTCCTCATACTTCTCTAAATAATCTCTCCTTTCTATGTCTAGATCTCTTAGAGGATCATTAGTCTGTTTTCGTCTGTTGTTTCCTTTCTGCCAGGTTATTTCACATTTACCCTCAACTGGAAAACTAAAAACTACTTCAGAAGGATCATTAAAATGCAAGTGCCTTTTGAAATATGTGTAAACCTATATCCTGACTCAAGGGCTCCTGGAGAATGAAAAGAACTTCCACCTCACGACCCTCTCTATAATCTTACCATTCTTCATTCGCTTCCTTGTTCATTTAATTCAGCGAGCCTTCAGTGAGTTTCTCTGCACCCA